GCGTGACTGATTATACCTTTCTCGTGCAGTGAATCGGAGGCCGTACCCCCTTTGAACCCTAAACTATTCTGCAGCGTGCCGTTTTTATGGTCGCGCTCATGACAGGGATGCGTCCCTTCCACCCCAACCCTAGGTATACGACTGCCTTTTTGGCGCTATCAATGAAGGAGAGAATCGCGAATGCGCTGTATTCTAGAGATTCGTCGCGTGTTATGCTCTTATCTTTATGTCCTACAATTATGCACTATGCGGCCATCGTGGCAAATCGTTATGAGAATTTCGCGGCTGGGTACCGCCTGGTTTACCACGGCCATTTGCTAGTTTATTCTGGAAACGCAACTGCTATATGTTCTCGACGACTAGGCACGTCGAGGGGTTGTGTTGTGTGTTCGGCAGTTTTGAAGTTAGTGGGCTGGTGTAGAGTGTGCAGGTAGAGGAGCGTTGCGTGGGCAGCAAACAGGCTGCGACGTTCTGGCACACATTTTGGGCCCGGTACCTTTTTGTGGAGACAACCACGATTGGCTGACTTTTTTTTGCATCGCATGGGAGCTCGCTACAGAAATTCGCGAACTCGCTTCCAGCCAGAGCAGTTCTCACCCCTACCTCTCTTCCCTTGGAACCTCGCCACCCATTTTTCCACCTGGTCAAGCTTTTAACACTTGTGCAATCTGGGCCAACGGCTTTAATCCTGTGCGTGCGCTGCGATCGATTTTAGTCACACCCAGCAGTGCCCCCCCCGTTGTTTTGTCAGGTAGGCTTGTCGGTAGAATACGCTCATTACAAGAACTAGATCTCCGCCGTTGCTAGCTTATCAACGGTACAGCGACGGTCCCATGATGTGCTGTCGGTTCTTCACAGCAATCCCACACCTCTCTGGGTGTGATGCCACCTCTCTAAACTCCACGATATCCACTCACCAGCCACCTTAGTTTCATCAGACCTTCTGATCGCATCTCCACACAACATTAACCCTAGCCCTTCATCAAGTGCTCCACATTACCCCTCCCAACTGACTCGGCCATTTTTTTGAGCTGTTCAATCTATCAGGTCACAAGCAAATGGGGTTTCCCAACCAGAAGCATCAAAATTGAAATCAGCAGCGGCATCGGTATCAGAATCGCCGTGGTCGTCGGCAATACCGAGGGCCGTGTTAGACCATTCGCTCCTGTACAGCCCCCCTTAGCATCACTTCCGCAGGAAAACTGCTGCTGGGGCGACTCAGAAGTCATTGGCGATACAGAGGGGCCGTGTTGGATCGCTCGCCTGTGCACAGCCTCCCCCAGCCTCACATCGCTCTGCATGGAAGCAGCACCGCCGTCGCCCCAGCCCCTACCTCCAGCTTCGCGCCCTTCGATTTTCTCAAACCTCCGTTCAGTCACTTTCCGCCAGGGGGGAAGGGGGGGGGGGGGGGGGGGGAAAGGGGCAAGGAGGCGGCAGCGGAGGAGGAAGGTGTGAGTAAGAAAGGGGGGGTGTGGAAGCTAGGAGGGGGGAGGGGCGGGGCGAGCTTGTGAGAGGGGATTGGCTGATGGAGAGGGAAGGATATCCGATGTGCGGGTCTTGATCAAGCACCTGACACAAGACCTGTCAAAGCACCTAATAATGCACCTGATTGGTCACCTGTGCTGAGATCGGCCGATCATGGAGCTACAGCACGTGCATGCCCTCATGCCATCGCACCAGCCAATGTGACAGTGTTTTCGGAACCGGTGCGTTGACAACTCCAATACAGCACCTCCCCCAATTGCACCTCCCCCGTGTTGCACCCCCCACCTGTCGCACATCCCCCTGTCGCACCTCCCCTTGTCGCACCTCCCCCTGTCCCACCTCCCCCTGTCCCACCTCCCCCTGTCCCACCTCCCCCTGTCCCACCTCCATTTGCTGCACTCTCCAAAGTCAGATGCACCATAAGCACAGTGTTGCTATGTTACCATGTTACCACCACCACCGTCCTCTGACCCGTCACAGTCGCTGGGGACACACAGCCAGCTTGCACCAAAACCTTCAACCGGCCTTACAGTAGACGAATCACACCTCTGTTGGAGCACTTTTTGCCGCTTGGGGAGGAAGGAACAGAGAGGCCAAGGAGGAGGAGGGAAGCCAGGGGAGTGTGTGGGGAGGGGGTGAGGAGTGAGAGGGCGAGATGGTGAGAGGGAGTGTGTGAGCTGGGGAGAGGGGATTGACAGATGGATAGGGATGGCTTTTTTTATGCAGCACCTGATGAAACACCTGGCACAAGTACCTGTTGATGCACCCGATGCTGGAAGCGGCAAGCTAGTAGCGTTGGCGCCAGCCAATACGACAGTAGAATCGGTTTTCTGCACCTCCTATCGCACCTTTTCCTTTCGCACCTCCCTTCTTGCACCTTCCCCTCCCGCACCTCCCGCTGTCGCATCTCCCCCTATTGCACCTTCCCCCAACGCAGCAGCTCTCTTCATGCACCATGAATGAAGCAGCAGTGGCACGTGGAACAACAACAATTGGGGAAGTTGCAGCAGCAGCGGCAGGCGCTTGTAATTCATTTTTCCAAAGTCGGATGCACCACAACCACATTGTTACCATGTTCCAGTGTTACCACCACCACCATCTAGCGACTTGTCACATGTGCTGTGCCTCCTAACAGTCATGGCATGGCACGCAACAAGCCGTTCAGCCAACTTCACAGCCCGTTCCAGTAATCCATGGGCACCACAGGCCCTCCTCCCTTTGGCACATGAGGTGTTGCGTGACACACCCTACAATCTTTTACCTATCCCATTCCATCCACCCAATCTGCCGGTTAATGATCCAATGGCTGACAGCGTGCCAGGCCAGTAATGCCCAATTTCCCGAGCCACAGGCTAATGGGTATGCCCCGTCTACCCTTTCTGCCCCGTCTGCCCCTTCTGCCCCTTCTGCCCCATCTGCCCCATCTGTCCCTTTTGCCCCATCTGCCCCATCTGCCCCATCTGCCCTGTCTATCCCTGCCCCGTCTGCCCCTTTCGCCCTTGTGCACTGGCATGACCCGTCTCAGCAGCATGATTTCTGACCTTCGGCAGAGAAGGCAGCACCACCAGGAGCAGCAGCATGAGGACGAGGTGCAGCAGCAGCATTTGGTGAATCAAGAAGGAAGGTAGTAGCAGGGACTAACCAAGGGCAAGGAAACAAGTGCAGCAGTATTCCTTCCCATAAACGGAGTAGTGTGGCTTCTTTTTTGTCCCAGCAGGGAGTGAAGAGGCAAGTTAAGACATTATCATTGAGCCACTTTTCAGTAGCTCCGGCAACGGAAGCAGGTGTAGCAAGCTAGTGGACAGCAGGAGCAACAGCTCTCGTCCCTTGATCAGCTGAGTGTCACGGAAGGGAAAGTAGAAGCAAATAAGGCAGCAAGAAGGGAGGCAGGCAGAGAGGCAGCAGATGGCTATTGGACTTGGTGGGGACAGAGTGGTGTCAGAGGAAGGTAGAAGGGGGTAGTTGGAGATTGGGAGTAGAGGAGGGGCAAGTGCGAGCAGAGGAGGGGCGAGTGGTGACGAGGATGAAGAAGGGGCGAGGAATTAGCTGTAGAAGGTGAACCAGCAGCAGCATCCGCATCAGCATCAGCTGTACGACGAGCAGGTGCAGACGAACAGGCACTGATACATGCTGACTTCCAGCAGGCTCTTTTGGTAAAAGGAACTTCTTACGGTTGACTTCCTCCACATTCTACTAACCAATGGTCCTGCTGCTGCTTCGGGTGCTAGTGGTAGTGATGCCTCTGCTGCTCCTTGCCCTGCTGTCCTCATGAGGTTCCCAGGTTCAAACTGGCGGGGGTAGGATTCAAACCTGGTGGTGTCGGCGTTGGAACAGAAGAGACTGTACCATGTTATGTAATAAGAACTGCTGCAGGTACTGTAGTGGGCACTGTAGAGTAGGAGGTCCTTAAGACATAGAATTTCGGGCCCACCTTGTTACCGCGTTATCCCACCTACTTTCCTGCCCGCGTGTGGCCCGCTGCCCACACGTGGCCTTCCTTTTTTCCGCTGCTGCTGCAGCCCGCGTGACCCGTGAACCTCTCGCTAGGACCTTGCGAGCAGCCCGCTAGGACCCCGCGCGCAGCCCGTCAGCGCCGTGCGCAGCCCGCTAGCACCGCGCGCAGCCCGTGCCAGCCAGCGCCAGCCCGCGCCAGCCTGCGGCGGCCTGCGCCGGTATACGAAACCGCCTGCTGGCGGCCTGCGCGGCCTGCCTGCTGCCCGTGCGGCCTGCTCGCTGCCCACGCAGCCCGCGCCACTATACCTACCACTGTCCGCGCAGCTCGCGCCAGCCCGCTCGCCACCCGCGCAGCCCGCGCTAGCCTGCGCCACCGCCTGCTGGCAGCCGGCCCCGCCCGCGCGCGGCCTGCTTCCTACCTGCGCGGCCCGCGAGCCACCCTCTAGCGCCGCCCGCACCTGCCCGCGTGCTGCTCCTGCCGGCCTGCTTGCTTGGACCTTCCTTTTTAGAGAATTTTGTAGCAAAAAAACCCTCTTGTTCTACTCCTACAATTTTTTGTGATAACTAGCATCACTGATTGTGCATAGAACAGCAAAAGTGTTGAAGTTGCCACATTTGCACATTTACAACCCTGCTTCACCGAATCGTGTTGTGACAGAATTCTGTCAACGCCATTGCAAAAATCATCTATCATGTTATCTCGCCAAATGTGTAGAAATTGTGTCCCATTCCTTGTGTGTCCCATCCCATTCCTTCCCTTTCATTCTTGCATCACTACAATTCTCCTTGTTCGGCAGTGACAACAGATCACATGCAAACAGAGATCTAACAATCTGGACAAAGATGGATATGTCTGACTCTCTTGTTTGGTGCAAGTATTTGTACCATTTGCAAGCAGCAGAATACAGGGGCTCAAATCCAGACATTTCCCAACTGCAGCACCATACAACAGAAGCTCTGCATTCGATCGAATCATAGGCTGGAATGAAAGCCTGCAACTGCAATGCAGCGCATCTAGTCAAAGAGGCTGAAGCCTGCGAAAGCCGAGCAGAGCAGTGCATCTAGTCGAAGAGGCTGAAGCCCATGTCGTCGTCAGACTCCTCCTCCTCCTCCTCTGCCGGCTTGGCCTCCTCCTTGGCCGACTCAGCTGCTGCTGCCGGCGCCGCCGCCACCGCTGCCACCATGAACTTGGAAGGATCCTGGAAAGCGGGTTTGGGTAAGGATCAGGAGAAGCATGATGGGGCGGAGACAAGTGATTAAAGAAAGCATTGATAGGAAAATGGGCAAGGAAACACAAAAGCCATTGTTAGAAAAAACGGACAGGTGCCACAGAAAGGAGGGGCCATGATAGGGGGGCCATGATAGCGAGGGGGGGAGCGTGAGAGGGGGAATGGACTTGCCGCACGGATCTCCTTGACCTTGTCGGCCAGAGGGAAGGTGTAATCATCGAGGGCGAGAGCAACAGCGATGACGTTCTTGTACGAGTTGGCAAACACGTGCGGCACGGCGGCGAGCGTGGGGAAAAGCAGGGGGCACACGGCTGATGTGCAAGGCAGCACTCACTCGGAGAAAAAGGAGGTGGGAAGGACTCACCGCGAGGATCTCCTTGACCTTGTCGGCTAGGGGGAAGGTATAATCATCCAGAGCAAGCGCAACAGAAATGACGTTCTTGTACGAGTTGGCAAACACGTGCGGCACGGCGGCGAGCGTGGGGTAGTCGGCACTGAGGGAGATGGCGGCCACGTTGGCCACACCAGATGTGAAGTGGCCGAGTAGATCGTCCTCTGACATGTCCAGGACTGACGGGTGGAAGGTAGAGCCGTCGTCAAACACCTGAAGGTGGTTAAGAGGGATACGTAGGGATACATTAGGGTTCAAGGGATGGGTTGAAGGTGGAAGTCAAGTGGCCAGGCAGATCGTCCTCTGACATGTCCAGGACCGAGGGGTGGAAGTTGGACCCATCGTCAAACACCTGGCAAGAAACAGAGGGGTACAAGGAGATACACAGGGGTACATAAAGGTTTCAAGTTCAGCATGGTGCAATGGAGTGGAGCGTGGTGAAGTGGCCCAGCAGGTCGTCCTCTGACATGTCCAGGACTGAGGGGTGGAAGGTGGACCCGTCGTCAAACACCTGGGAGGAGGAGAAAAGGGGATACGTAGGATTACAACGGGGTTTAGGGTTCCGGGTTGAGGTGCAGAGGAGGGGCAGTGGGGAGGCGAAGTGGCCCAGCAGATCGTCCTCTGACATGACGAGGCCTGATGGGTGAAAGGTGGAGCCATCGTCAAACACTTGGCGGGGGGCGGGCGAAGACAATTGGGGAAGGTGGAATGTGCATAGGAGGAGAAGTGGTAAGGGTTGCCTTGGTCGGTCCCCAACTATAGAAGCTTAGATACACAAGCTTAAATGTTGTTGCTTATGCCCACCCGCGCTCACACGGCGACGCCGACACCGGCTGTGTCAGGGCACGGCACGCAAGGCTGGCCAGGTGGGGGTGGTCAGTCCCATCCCATCCCCACCACTGCACCATCGAGTGCTTGCCTGCCTTCACGGCCTCCCTGTCGGCAATTGCCTCAGGGAGGCCGAAGGAGCCTTCAAGGGTGAGGAAGGCCGTAAGCCCCTCCTGCAAAACAAGAGAGGCCCGTTTCTCCTCACCATCTTTGTTGGTGAAGGTCTTGCCGTCGTAGTGACGTGCGATGAACGCCTTGAAGATGCGGGTACATTCCACGTCGTTGCGAAAAATACCCTCTTCCTGATTTGCCGGGTTCATGATCTGCTCCACAGCATGAAGCGCGCAAGCAAGGCTCTCATCCCAACGGCGCCTAGCAATCTTCCCAATATCAGCCGCAACCGCCCGCGGCAGAATCTTCTCCCTTGCTTCCAGCTTGGTGTTCACGTCCTCGGTTAGCTGGAGCATAAGGTCGTAGATGGTTCCCATCATGCCTTTCGCACTGCTGTCCGTGACCCACATCACCTTGAACGGAGTCGCCAAGAGCTCCACCAGGTAGGTAGCACTCTTCCATTCTTCCACCATTCGTCGTCCATGACGTGGCCGCGGAAGGTATCTGCCGTCAGCTTCCTAGTCCCCGCTGACCAGTTGGCATACTCCTCACTCAGTACCATCTGCGACAATGTGGACCGCAGCTGGAGGAGCCTGGAGAGGGCGATATAGTTGGTGCCGAACCTAGTCCCCACCGACTTCACAAGCTGCTTCCCCTTTCCTCCCTTCACCGCCCCACTCCTCAGGTAATTGCGGGTGAAATGGTGGTTGCGAACATAGATGATCATGTCCCCGTACCGATCCACAATGTCCTTGCACCACGTGATTTTGCTCACGTCCTCCGTCAGGAGGTCGAGCACGTGCATAGCGCACGTCACGTACTCGATGTGCGACCAATCCGCCATCGACTACATGCAGGCGGCCCCGTAGTTGGAGCCCCCGTCCATGCAAAGGGCGGCTACGTTTTCGGGCCCCACTTTCTCGATGATGGGGAGGAGGGACGCGATGTAGCCGCTGGTTTTCGACTCCATATTGCAGTTGATAGCCTCGACAAACACCGCTCCCGTATTGTTGACCAGCATGACGTTCGCCTACGGCCTCCCGCACCGATCGGTCATCAGGTCGGAGGAGACGGTGACGCCATCCTTCTTCCAACTCGCGGCGATGGCTGAAGCCCCTTCTTGATGCCCGTGCAGCATTGCTTCAGCCCAGCTCCTCCCACGTAGTTCCGCCGCGGCGCAACATAACCGTGAGGTGCGTTGTTAATGGCCCTGACCATGTTGCGCCACAACGGGTTGTCGGCGTGGTGTTCGGGAATGCGACAGCCGGCGAAGAACAAGCAGACGGAGTTGTCCGCCTTGCCCCTTCTTGCATTTCGCCTCGTCGCCAATGAAGTCGGTGATGCGGCATTTCTTCGCACCTCCCACGACAGCGTCGAGCGCAGCATCCTCGGCCCGCCTTTTTTCATCGCGGTTGGCTGCCTTCTTCTCGTAATGCGCGCGCACCGCCGCTCGCACGCCGGGCGGAACCTTCCCGCACAGGCGGACGTCGCGAGATCTCTGTCCCTTCCATTTTGCGAGATGTTGAGCGCATCAAAACGCACCACCCTTGAACTCGATCACGCAATACTTGCAAACGCGGACAGCCGCGACGGTGTCGGGGCGGATGGGAACCTTGAAGTGCTTGAAAACGACATGTGCACTATCCTCCTCCAGCCATTGCGCCTCCGAGATCGAGGCTGACAGATCAGTAGGCTGAGTAGACGGACCAGAAGGCTGAGTGCCTGGAGATGGGACTGGAGTAGACATAGCTCAACAGAGAACAGGGATGACAACTGGATGAGAAATGTGTAGAGGTGGGGTCAATTATACTTACCACGAATTGGTTGGGGGGTGGGGGACATGCTGTTGTTGGTCACGAGTTGTTGGGGGTGATTGGGCGCAATGTTGATGTACACGTGGATTGGATTATCCTTTCCATTTTTGCTACCTCTTCTCACCTCCTCTGCCCTTATGCCCCAGTACTGGTCGTTGATGTACTCAATCTGCTCAGTAAGAGGAAATATCTTGTAGATCTTGTTGTAGAACACCTGCAGCAACCGTAGCTCCGCCTTGGGGTGTGACAGCTCCACCTGAAAGAGAAGGTGCAAACGGCACAGAGCAGTACAGAGGAGTAATTTACAGATAGGAACAGTGCAGCAGGGTTGGTATGGTAGCGAGAAAGATCTTGTAGTTCCTTTTGTAGAGCAACTGCAGCATCCGCAACTCTGCTTTAGGGTGTCACAGGTCCACCTTTAACAGGGATACAAAATGGTACAGACAGGGACAGAGGGGTACAAAGGGGCAGGGCAGAAAGGTTGGTATAGAGTGTAGGGAAGATCTTGTTGCTGAACACCTGCAGCATCCGAAACTTCGCCTTAGGATGCCACAGTTCCACCCTGAACAGGAATAGAAAGACTGGGACAGAGGGGTACGGAGGGGTACAGGGGGGCAAGGTTGGTGTCGAGTGTAGGGGAGATATGAAAGATTCCGTTGCAGATGCACTGGAAGCAAACCTGCACAACGTTAGCATAATCAGACTCTCACACAGCTACTTGCACTACATGGATGCATCAGTTTTGAGGTTTGCACGCAATGTGGGGTGTGTGTGAGGTCCGATTTCAACTCAAGAACTTCACAAAGAGGTGGGACAGGGGGAGAATGTGTCTTCTGCTTTGAAGGGCGGGTTAAGAAATTTCAAAGAAATTTGAGGTCTGCTTCGAAAATTGAACCACCCTGCTTGAGGGTACTGACTGAAACGCAAGCATCTCCACCTTCCATTACCTTGGTCTTTAGGTCCGCAAGCACATCTGCCACCGTAGATTTCTTGGGCATCCCAATGCTGTGCACCGACACCTGGGAAGAGGAGGCAGGTCATGATTCACAAAACTGATTGAGCAGGAGGCAGGTCATGAATGAAGCATGGACAGTACTCAGAACTAGGCTTGAGAAAAGATCCAACCGCAGTACGATTCGATGCAAACAGAGCCGAACACAATTTGTTTGGCATCTGGTTCGAAACGGACCAAACCTGTTTCATGTCGAACCGGTTCGACGGTTCGGGCAATTTCACTGTGTTATTTATCTCTAGCCACGTCAAACCCCGTTTCCGATTCGAAACAAATCGGGCAGGACTATGCGGCCAACTCCGCGACTGCATTCTCAGTTGATTGAAATACCAAAACGTTAGAGCTGGTTCCAATCGGTTTGGTTTGATTAGACAATTATCAAACCTCAAACTAGCAAGATCCATTGCGTATTCATCTCGAACCTGTTTCTTGCAGCAAAGAACACCACGAACCAAAAAAGAACACTCATGGGTGAGACATCGCCAGGAGCAGGTTTGATAAGCGGGTGCAAATCTAGAAGAACAAAATGCATGCACCTATTTATCAGCTCACATCTCTCCCCACACCGCCTTCACCTTGCTATTGTGGAATGTGACGTTAAAGAGGCTTCGCTGCAGCTCCCATTGACACAAACACGCGCATACCTTTCTCACCACCCACACAACTTGCTCTCACCTAATCCGCCATGCTCTCACCACCCACAGCTTTCTTCTTTCCCCCTCACCTCCCTCCCCTCACCTCTTCTGCCTTGCTGTTGTGGAACGTGATGTTGAGAGTCTTGAGCTGCTGCAGTTCTGGCAGCGGGATGTCGAGCGTCTCGAAATAGAGGATGTCTGTCGACTGCATGACACAGACGACAGGGGAACAGCAGAGGGGAAGACGGAGAGGGGGAATTATGAGGCAGTGGCCATAGCAGCCCTATGCCCAGCTAATGCTGAGGGATGTTGAGTGTATCGAAGTAGAGGATATCAAAAGACTGCAAGACAAAGGGGAATAATGGAGGGGGGTTCGGGGAATTTACAAAGAGGAGCATGTGCTGTCCACGCCTTGGTACTTGATGGGCGGTCGGTGGGGCTTGGGCTGCTGCGGGTGACACTTGTGCATCATGACACCCATAACCCTTACCCCATAAACCAAACCCAAACGCTGTACCTCACCAAGCCCCCCTTCCTCCCGTCCTTTATACCCCTACCTGGCTGTAGTGCAGGAGCATATCAGCTAGGCAGTCCGTGCCTCAGTACTTGATGGGAGGGTGGCATTGAGTTAGAGAGTCGGTAAACCTAGCCCACACGCACCCCATATGCCAATTCTTCTTCCCCCCACCCACACCTGGTTGAAGTGCACGAGCATGTTGGTCAGGCAGTCCACGCCTCGGTACTTGACGGCCGGCTGCAGTGAGTTAAAGTCTCGGTAAACCTACCCCAGACACATTCCATATGCTAATCCTTCCCCTTCTCCTCACCTGGTCGTAGTGCACGAGCATGTCAGCCAGGCAGTCCACGCTTCGGTATTTGATGGCCGGCGGCTTGGGCTTCTGTGAGTAGCAGTTGTGCATGGTGAGTCGGATCTTGGAAGGGTTGTCCAGGCCTATCTCCTCTGCCAGCCTCGCCACCACGTCGTCATACGTGTGCTCTTTGGAGCTGCCAGGGAGAGAGGGAGAGGAAGAGGGAGAGGGAGAGGGAGAGGGAGAGGGAGAGGGAGCAGAGCAACACAGAAGGGCGAGCTTGACAGGAGGCGGCTTAGGTTGAGTTGCATCTGCGCATGGTGAGGCAGATCTTGGAAGGGTCCTCTGCTAGCCTCGCCACCATGACTTCATACGCGTGCTGCTTGTTGCCGCTGGAAGGATGGTGGAGGAAGGAGAGGGTATGGAGCCTGGTGTGAGTGGTTGGTCTCGGACGAGACGTAAAGCCCTAGCTCCTCTACCGGCCTTGTCACCGACTCACCTCACCACCATGTCAGTGGGAGACCCAACGGCACTGAGCACTTACAGACAGCACGAGGCAGAGGATGCCCACCTTCAGGTTTGTCCAGCTTGGGTTGCAACAAGAAGAAGGCGTTCAGAAACAAAACAATCAACACCCACCTCTATTTTGGACGCACAGCTCGAGGCACCAGGCGTCATCTTTGATTCTTTGAGATTCTCTAAGCGTTTGAAGTGCACCACATACCGCCGGATGTGCACCTACTCCTACTCCAGGAAAGAGAAGAGTGGCACCATCTTATACCTGAAACTCAGGTACACTACACTACGGTACAAACAGTAGCAACTCACTCACAGTTCCAAGCACAAGGCATCCTGCATGAGCTTTTCCAACCGCCACAAAATGCACCACCTTCCGGTTGCGCACCCCACAAGAGAGTGACCCACCTCACAAGATATCTGACTCCTAGGGCAAACTTGGGTGGGTTGGGAGCTCAATCGGAGGTTGGGAACTCACAGCTCGAGGCAGAAAGCGTCCTCTGTGGGCTTCTCCAGCCGTCGGAAATGCACCACCTGCCGGTTGCACACATACTCCAAAAAGGACGGCATGTCAGGGTACCTCACTGCACTCTCACCACTCCTGATAGTAGCAGCAATAGCAGCAGCAGCCGCGCCCTCTTGGGCTAGCGGGTTGGCGCGCTGCACGCACACAATGTCACAATCCTCCAGCTGGGCGCGCTTGAACGTCACCTTGAAGTCCAGGGCCTCGCACATCACACTTGGCTCAAACCTTATCTCCTGCAAAGTTGGAGGAGGGAGTAGTGGAAGGAGGGAGACGGCAGTGGTGAAGCTTTTTTTCTGGATCTCCTGGACTATGAGTGGTCCAATTATGGGCGCATGCTGCACAGTGCAATATTCTCCTCCCCTCGCCACAGGCACGTCAAAGAGCAATCGCCGTTAGGTGCAAGGCCATAAATCTCGTCGATCTTCGCCCTCACGAACACCACCACCACCACTCTCTTGTAAATCTTACTATTAGTGTACAATATGCCTCTTGGCTCACAGACACCTCAAAGAGCATATATTCATCAATGGGTGTAAGGCCACACATCATGTTGACCTATGCCGCATACGCACTACTCTCTGAGGGTCCTACTATTAGTGCACAGTATTCCCCTCGCCCCACACAAAATTTAATGAGGAGAATGCTGTCGGTGGGAGCGGGGCCTCTCATTTGGTTGACCTTCCCGCTTCAACGGACTTAACACTCATCACTAAATACACTCCCTCCCTTTATCCCCCACACACCTCAAAGAGCAGGATGTCATCGGTGGGTGCAAGGCCACACATCTTGTTGACCTTTCTTCGCACATGGTCAGGGATCTGTCCGAGCTTTACAAAGAGACAACCCACGTAACTGCAAGGGAAAGGGAGAGTAGGGAGAGGGGAGCAAGGGCAAAATTTCATGTTTGGGATGCGTGGAAATTCACAACAGAAGGTGTCTATTGGTAGAGAGTCACAAAATAACGCGACTGCAAAGGGAGAGGGGAGGGAAGAAGGAGACGAGGGGGAGTGGAGGGAGAGGTGAGGGAAAGATTGTGAGCAGGGAAAGAGTGATTTTTGAGAGACGTAAAAACAGCGTCAGAAGGCGCAGCGCTCTTTGCCCGATCTTCACAAACAGATAGCATGCACACCTGCAAAGGAAGGGGTTGGAGAGGGAAGAGGGAGAGTGGAGCAGGGAGGGAGAGGAGGATTGAGAGGAGGATGGAGGAGGTGTTTTCCAAGCCTGCACCGCGGCCCTGCTTACTAGATTGACCATCCTCCTAAGCATGTCTCTCTCACCTACGCATCTCTCACCTAAGCATGCCTCTCTCAACTAAGCATGTCTCACCTAAGCATGCCTCTCTCAACTAAGCATGTCTCACCTAAGCATGCCTCTCTCAACTAAGCATGTCCCTCACCTAAGCATCTCTCAGCGTCTCTCACCCAAACGTCTCTCACCTAAGAGTCTCAGTGACTGGGTTGTAGAATTTGAAGAAGAGCAGAATGTCGTCCTTGGCCCTCTCATGTAGCGGAGCCAATGGCCGGTTCTGGTGCAGTCAGGTTACGAGGGAGGGGGGAAGAGGGTGGGTTTGGAACTCTTGCATGGACTTAGAAATCAACTCGGGAGCAATGGATACCAGGTCTTTGTGCTGTCAGCTTCCAGGGGAGGGGTACGGATGGGCTGTTGAAGTATTCAATCAATGGCTGGCCCGGTGCAGTGAGGTCAGGTCAACGAAGGGTAGGAGGGGAGGATCAGGAAGGGGAGGACATTGATGGATAGGAAAGAGGGATGTAGTGACGAAGGAATACCAGTCTGGCTGGCCCTGGCAAGATACACGTAAGGGGAACGAGATGCCTCACAAGCAGTCTCATGAGGAATCGAAATGCAGCAATGACAGGCGTGAGAGGACTTACAGGGGGGTTCGGCGTGCCTTCAAGGAACAGATGCAGGACCGTGGAGTATGCATTGCCCACTGAGTCCCTCAGCTGCCCGACCTGAAAGAGGAGGCGGGTGGGAGGAGGCGAGAGGACGAGAGGATAATGGGAGGAACGGGTTGGAAGAGGGAGGGAGAGCAGACGCACATCCATGGCGTGCGCATTGCTCATGTAGGCAGGACAGAGTGTAAAGTACTAGAGAGGAGGAAAATTGGGGGGAGGGAGGAACGGGAAGGATGGGGGCTGTGAATGAGGAAAGAGAGGACGAGATGGAAAGCGGAGAGGGGAGGAATATGAGAGGTAGGGGCTGGAATAGAGTGCTTCTGCATCTTTCAAAAAAACTACCTTGAGTTTTTCACTCCCTACATCCTCTTCCCTCACTCACTCCCACTATTCCTCCCGCTCGACCGCTCCCTCCCTGTTCCCTCACCTTCCCCCTTTTCTCACCGTCATGCCCTCTTCCACAGCATTGAGCAGCCGGTGGGGGCGGTAAGTGTTGTTCTCCCGACGCACCCACAGCCAAAACCGCTACGCTGCCACCGGAACGCCAACCTCCCTCTCCACCTCCCTCTTAAACTCCCAAAACCGCATCTGGTTCGGCACGCGGAAGCTCTTCACGCGTTCATGGTCTACGAGGTCAAAGAAGAGGTTGCTGCCGATCTGCTCCCGTAGGTCCTCGTCTCGCGAAATCTTGATGATCGTGAACAGGTGCGCCTTCTCCTCCTTCTCCTTGCGCTTTCGCTCCTTCTCCTCCTTCTCCTTGCGCTTTCGCTCCTTCTCCTCCTCCTCCTTGCGCTTTCGCTCCTTCTCCTCCTTCTCCTTCTCCTTGCGCTTTCGCTCCTTCTCCTCCTTCTCCTTGCGCTTTTGCTCCTTCTCCTCCTTCTCCTTGCGCTTTCGCTCCTTCTCCTCCTTCTCCTTGCGCTTTCGCTCCTCCTCCTCCTCCTTCTCCTTGCGCTTTCGCTCCTCCTCCTCCTCCTTCTCCTTGCGCTTTCGCTCCTCCTCCTTCTCCTTGCGCTTTCGCTCCTCCTCCTCCTCCTCCTTCTCCTTGCGCTTTCGCTCCTCCTCCTCCTCCTCCTTCTCCTTGCGCTTTCGCTCCTCCTCCTCCTCCTCCTCCTTCTCCTTGCGCTTTCGCTCCTCCTCCTCCTCCTTATCCTTTCGCTTTCGCTCCTCCTCCTCCTCCTCCTCCTTCTCCCTGCGCTTTCGCTCCTCCTCCTCCTCCTCCTCCTCCTCCTCCTCCTCCTCCTCCTCCTCTTCCTCCTCCTCCTCCTCCTCCTCCTCCTCCTCCTCCTCCTCCTCCTCCTCCTCCTCCTCCTCCTCCTTCTCCTTCTCCTCCTTCTCCTTGCGCTTTCGCTCCTCCTCCTCCTCCTTCTCCTTGCGCTTTCGCTCCTCCTCCTGCTTCTGCTTCAACTGCGCCTTGGGCGTGGGTGCGGGAGATTAGAAGCTGTCAAACACTATGTATGTGTTATTGCTGTGTAGGCTATAGTGGGTTAGCCTTTAGGGGGTACACAACTCTAGGGTTTCCTACATGTACTCCAATGTTTCATAGTTCAAACACTTCTTGATTCTGACATGGTATCAGAGCTATAGGTTCTAGACCTAAGGGCCCACCGTTCCGCTAGTGGTGCCCTCGTGCGCCCCTCCTCTTGTGCGCCCTCGTGCACTCTCCTCTCACGCTGCCCGTGTGCAGTCCGCTAGCAGCCCGAGCGCGGCCCCGCCGTTTTAGCGCGCGTAGGAAAACCGCTGCCTAGGGCGGCCCGAATTTTTTCTCGCGAGCCCCAGCAGGCCGACGCCCATAGGCCCCGCTAGCCCCTAGGCCGACGCGCGACCCACAGCCGCCCGCCCGCAGGTCGCAGCCAGCGCGCCGCGGCGATCGCACGTCGGCTGCTGCAGCCCGCGCTTAGCCACCGCTAGAACGCAGCCGCGGCCCGCGCGCAGCCGCACCCTAGGCGCCGCCGCGCACCGAGCATAGGCCCGCCGTCGCGCCGCCTTACCCACCCGAGCCGCGCCGCCCGAGTTGCGCCGCACGAGTCGCGCCGGCCTACCTGCTCCTACTGCTACTACTGTTGCAACTGCTACTACTACTACTACTGCTACTACTGCTACTGCTACTGCTACTCCTGCTACTGCCACTATGGCCAGTCCCACTGTTCTCACCTTTGACGCCGAGGGCCGCCTGATTAAGTTCGATGTCTGGCTTGATGACCTGCACCTGTACCTCCAGATCACTGCCAAGGACGATGTTTTCCTCTATGACCACACGTCCGGCGCTGCTCCCGCACCTCCCGCTACTGCTGACAGCACTGCTCGCTCCCAGTGGCAGACCCGTGATGCTCACGCTCGCCTAGCCGTTCGCAGTCACCTACCGTTAGATGAGCGCGAGCACTTCGGACAGCATAAGACCGCCAAGGAGCTGTACGACGCAATAGTCGCGCGCTACTCCTCCCCTGCCACTGCTGCTATAGGCCGTCTCTCATTGCCCTACCTCTTCCCCGACCTGTTCGCCTTTGCCACTGTAGCTGACCTCATCACCCACCTCCGTACCAGTGACCTCCGCTACCGTGCCGCGCTCCCCCTTGATTTCCTTGCCAAGAACCCCCCCCCGATGTACCTCACACTGTACCACCTTGTCACCTGCCTCCCTGGCTCCCTTCGCACTGTCAGGGACCAGTTTCTCGCCCTCTCCCCCACTGACCTCACTGTCGACCTCCTCGAGAAGGAGCTCCTAGCAGCTGAGAAGAGCATTGTAGCTGTAGGTGCCTCTCGTGGTGACCCCCGCACCCCCTTCTATAAGGGGTGCTCCCCCTCCCCCCTCCTCCCCTCCATTGCATCTGCTGCTGCTGTCGACTACCTCGGAGCTGAGGGGGTCGGGGCCGCGTCTGCTCCTAGTGGGAGACGCAAGGGCGGCAGGGGCAAGGGGGGCAGGGGTGGTGGAGGTGGAGGCGGGGGCGGCGGCGGTGGAGGAGGTGGGGGGGGCGGGGGTGGTGGCGGGAGTGGGAGTGGCGAGGGTGGTGGGGGGGTCAGTGGCGGCACAGGGGGTGGTGGCGGCGGCGGCGGTGGTGGGGGTGGTGGAGGTGGTGGTGGCAGTGGTGGCGGCGGTGGAGCGGGTGGCGGGCACGGTGGAGCGGTGCAGCGTGGGGGGTTTGGCGGTGGCCAGAGGCAACAGCAGCAGCGTCCCGGCGAGACACCCTCGCCCCAGCAGCTCCGTGAGTGGTACTCTCAGCGTGGGGGGTCTGGGGGTGGAGGTACCTGCCCGTATGTCATCCGCACAGGTGACCGCACTGGCCAACTGGCCAGACTTGTGGGAAGTTTCACACGGCGCAGCGCTGTTTCTCTCGCCTCGACGACGCTTGGCGCGAGCAGTTCCCTGACGCCTCTGAGCTGCCCCGCTGGGCTGATCTGCTTAGGAAGGGGATTGATATCTTTGTTCTTGATTATGATGCTATCCTTGCTGCTATGTATGCATTGACTATTAGTGTTGAGGGTGACTATTACCTGAGTGTACCGCCCGACCCGGATAATGGGACCAGTGAGGCTGCAGCTCTATGTGCTAGCGCGTCTGCTGCTCTAGGTCCTGGTGAGGCTGCTGCCCTAGGTGCTAGTGCGTCTTCGTCTGCTGGTACCGCACCTACTGAGGCACTGCACACCTTCGCACTGGACTCAGGTGCTTCCCGTTGTTTCTTCCGCGACCGCACTGCCCTACAGCAGCTTCCTAGACCGGTTGCTGTCTCCCTAGCAGACCCCTCAGGGGGTCCGGTCCTTGCGACCTCCACCATTGCCCTCCCTTGTCCTGCTGACCCGTCTGGCACGCTGTCGGGCCTCTACCTCCCCTCGTTCTCTACGAACTTGGTGGCGGGTTCCGCGCTCTAGGACGCGGGTGTTCACAAGTTCACCCCGGCCTACGAGCGAGTGACGCACTGCACGTGTGCGCGGATGGGTCGTCACCTGGCTACCTTCACTCGGCAGCCGGGGTCGAACTTGTACACACAGACCACTGAGTCCCCTCAGGTAGCTGCGTCTGCGTCAGGTCAGCTGTCGGCCCCCTGCTCGTGTCGCTCTCTGTCACACAGGACTGTCCTCTGGCACCACCGCCTTGGTCACCCGCCAGTGCAGCGCCTTCGCGGCATGCACTCCAGGTACCTTGTCTCTGGTCTTCCGAGGGTTCTCCCTCCCCTGCCACCCTCGCATGCTCCTCCCTGCCTTCCCTGTGTCGAGGGGCGGCAGCACGCCGCTCCTCACTCCTCCTCGTTCCCTTCCACAGAGGCTCCCCTGCAGACTCTCCACCTGGACGTGTGGGGCCCCGCCCGCGTCCGGGGACAGGGCCATGAGCGGTACTTTCTGCTGATCGTTGACGACTACACGCGCTACACCACGGTCTTCCCCTTGCGTACCAAGGGTGAGATCCCTGCTGTCTTGATCCCCTGGATCCGCGCTGCTCGTCTCCAGCTCCGCCAGCGGTTCCAGTCGGACTTTCCTGTCCTACGTCTGCACTCTGACAGAGGTGGCAAGTTTTCCTCTGACCTCTTGGCAGCCTACTGTGCGGAGCACGGCATCACCGAGTCGTTCATGCTCCCGGCCTCTCCGCAGCAAAATGGGGTTGCTGAGCACCGCATTGGTCTTGTCATGGAGGTCGCTCGTACCTCCATGATCCATGCGGCTGCCCCCCATTTCCTGTGGCCGTTTGCAGTGCAGTACGCCGCGCATCAGCTCAACCTCTGGCCCCGTGTCTCTGTCCCGGAGACCTCGCCTACTCTGCGTTGGTCGGGGGAGGTTGGCGATGCGTCGGTGTTCCGAGTCTGGGGATGTCGAGCCTTTGTCCGCGATACGTCCACGGACAAGCTCTCCTCCCGTGCCGTTCCCTGTGTCTTCCTTGGCTTTGTCCCTGACGCGCCTGGCTGGCAGTTTTACCACCCCACCTCGCGCCGTGTCTTCGCCTCTCAGGACGTCACCTTTGACGAGTCGGTACCCTTTTACCGTCTCTTCCCCTACCGCACTGCTCCGCTCCCCCCCCCCCCCCCCCCCGCCGCTCTTCCTCACCCCAAGTGTCCCGTCGGTAGACCCCCTCCCTCCCCAGGGTGCTGCTCCATCAGGTGTTTCCCAGGTAGACCCGGTCGAGCCTGTCGAGGTAGCTGTTGACTCTAGTCCTGCGCGAGGTGCTGAGTGTGCTGAGCCTGGTGGTGCTGGGTCTGGGGGCACTGAGACTGGGGGTGCTGAGCCTGGGGGTGCGGAGACTGGGGGTGCTGAGTCAGGGGGTGGAGGGACTGCGGGTGCTGAGCCTGGAGGTGCGGAGACTGCAGGTGCTGCGCCTGGATGTGCTGCGACTGGGGGTGTTGGGCCTAGAGGTGCTGAGGCTGGGGGCTCTGAGACTGACCGTACTGCGCCTGCTGGCGCTCCCTCTTCACAGAAGCTGCGTGAGTGGTACTCCCAGCGTTACAGCCTACGTCGTGGGGCTACTGGAGCTGGGGGGCTTGCTGGAGTTGGGGCTAGTGGTCCTGCGGGTGCAATGTCGCAGCCGGAGCCTCCCTCCCCTCAGCGGCTGCGTGAGTGGTACACTCGGCGCTGCAGCCTCCAGAGTGGAGCTCCTGGTGTTGAGGTACCGCCCGCTGGAGACCCTACTGTTGCTGGAGGTTCTGGTGCTGCTGGTGCTGGTACTACTGGAGGTGCTGCTGGTGCTGCTGGAGGTTCTGGTGCTGCTGGAGGTGCTGCTGGTGCTGCTGGAGGTGCTGGAGTTGCTGGAGGTGCTGCTAGTGCTGCTAGTGCTGCTGGAGGTACTGGAGCTGCTAGAGGTGCTGCTAGAGCTGCTCGAGGTTCTGGTGCTATCTCTGCTGCTTCTGGGGGCACTTCACGACCTCGGCCGTACTTCGTTCCGCTCCTTCAGCAGGTTCTTGGTCAGCCGCCTCCTCCTAGTCCTTCTCCCTCCGTAGAGTGTCCTCAGCCTATCCAGTCGCAGTCATAGCTACCGCCTGCCTCGCCACTTCCTGGTCCTTCTCCCTACACTGGTCCGACAGGCGGTCTTACAGAGCGTCGTGCGCCTGAGTCCCGTCCTGTGTCACCTGTTCGTACTACTTGCACTAGTCGCCGTGTACCACGTGAGCGTCCGCCACCTGTTCCTGGCACACACCGGATGTCACTGCGTCCCTCCACTGCTCCACAGCGTGTCCCTCTGCCGTCTCCTCCTGCGTCCTCTCTTCCTGTTCTTGCTGACCCAGCATCTGACTCTCTTCGTGCTGTCAGTCCTACTGTCACGCGTCTCCTGGCCATTGCTGTCACTGACCCTTCTTTTGAGTCGGCTGCTGCGTCTGCCCTAGTTGCTGAGCTTATCGACTTTGTTGCTCGCTGTCGTCTAGACTACGCTGCGAGTCTTGTTGCAGAGTCTGAGTCTGTCTGTCCTCCATCTGTCGGGGGTGAGTGTGCTCTAGGCACGGACGTCCTTGAGGACAGACAGGAGGACCTTGAGTGTCTTGCAGTCGCTGCGCCCCATCTCGTGTCCATGCTAATTGCCCCTGAGGGAGACCCGGATGCACCAGACATCCCGACTCCTCGATCGTACGCTGAGGCGATCGAGGGTCCCTACTCCTCACAGTGGCAGTCAGCCATGGACGCAGAGATGGCTTCCTGGAAGTCCACAGGCACCTACGTCGACGAGGTTCCCCCACCTGGGGCGCACATCGTCAGTGGCATGTGGATTTTCATGGTGAAGCGGCCGCCGGGTTCTCCGCCTGTCTTCAAGGCTTGTTACGTTGCTCGAGGATTCAGTCAGCGAGAGGGAGTAGACTTCTTTCAGACCTTCTCCCCCA